ACCCTTCTAGGTTCTTAGTTGGGACTCTGTAACCAAAGGCAGATTAATAAGAGAAAAGCAGGGTCTTCCCTGGTGGTGCAGCGGTTGAGTGGTGGGCTTGGAAGCTGCCCGCAGCCTCTGCAGCACCGGTTCGATCCCCGGCCACCGGCAAGGGTCCCACATGGGGCGCAGACCTCTCCTGCCACCCACTGCTCCCCTCAGCAGTGTATTTCATCAGTCTGCCTGTTCTGTTCCCCGCTCTGGTTCTGGTGAATTCTCTCACCTTCCCTCGCTTTCGACTGTACCCCAGTGCTTGTATAAATAAATAAATAAATCTTTAAATAAATGAAACTATACTTTAAAAAAGAGAGAAAAGCATACAAATGTGAACTCATATTCAATGTGAGCTTTACATGATATAGGAGTCTTTACAAGGAAATGAATACCAAAGAAGTGATTAAAACAGAGGTTTTTATGCTAAATTTGATGAATACTAGAGAGTGGTAGAAAATGTGATAGGACAATCCGCTACGGGTGCTGCATGGCCTAAGACGGGTTTTGACATCCCTGGGGTGGCTAGAGAGTCCCCTCGCGCTCTGTCGCGCTGCAGGCTGCCAAGGAGCCCAAGCAGAAGAAATGGAGTTTAGAGCCTGAGAATTTTGAAAAGTTAAAGCCAGTTCATGGGCTAATTTTTCTTTTCAAGTGGCAGTCAGGAGAAGAACCATCAGGTTCTGTGGTTCAGGACTCCAGACTTGACAAAATATTTTTTGCCAAGCAGGTAATTAATAATGCTTGTGCTACTCAAGCCATAGCAAGTGTGTTGTTGAACTGCACCCATCAAGATGTCCATTTAAGAGAGATGTTATCAGAATTTAAAGAATTTTCACAAAGTGTCGACGCAGCTATGAAAGGTTTGGCACTGAGCAATTCAGATGTGATTCGACAAGTGCACAACAGTTTTGCCAGACAACAAATGTTTGAATTTGATGCAAAGACAACAGCTAAAGAGGAAGATGCTTTTCACTTTGTCAGTTATGTTTCTGTTAACGGAAGACTATGAATTAGATGGGTTAAGAGAAGAACCGATTGATTTAGGTGCATGCAATCAAGATGACTGGATCAGCACAGTGAGGCCAGTCATAGAAAAAAGGATACAAAAGTACAGTGAAGGGCCTCCCCGGTGGCACAGCGGTTGAGCGCTGGGTTGCGAATCTGCCCGCAGCCTCTGGAGCACTGGTTCGATCCCCAGCTGCTCCCCGGCCACCAGAGGAGGGTCCCACATGGCTCGCAGACCTCTCCTGCCACCCGCTGCTCCCCTCAGCAGTGTACTTCGGTCCTTCTGCCTGCTCTGCTCCCCGCTCTGGCTCTGGTGAATTCCCTTACCCTCCCATGCTTCTGACTGTACCCAGTGCTTGTATAAATAAATAAAAATAAATCTTTAAAAAAAAAAACAAAAACAAAAAACAAAAGTACAGTGAAGGTGAAATTCGATTTAAGTTAATGGCTATTGTGTCCAACAGAAAAATGATATATGAGCAGAAGATAGCAGAGTTACAAAGACAACTTGCAGAGGAGGAACCCATGGATACAGATCAGGGTAATAATATGTTAAGAGCCATTCAGTCAAGAGTTTGCCAAAAATCAGATGCTTATTGAAGAAGAAGTACAGAAATTAAAAAGATATAAGATTGAAAATATAAGAAGGAAGCATAATTATCTCCCTTTCATTATGGAATTGTTAAAGACTTTAGCAGAAAACCAGCAGTTAATACCGCTAGTAGAAAAGGCAAAAGAAAAACAGAATGCAAAGAAAGCACAGGAAACCAAATGAAGAAAATACTCTGCAAATTTCTACTTCTCCACTTATTTTCATGGAAACCATTAAGTATAAAGAACTTTGAGCAACAACATCCTAATTGACTCTGCACATTTGGCAATAGTACCATTCTGTTTTGTCTTTAATTCATGGATACGTAAACGTTTTCCCAACCTGCATCATGTGCATGTAGTGCATATTAAATAAAAGTGATGTTAAGAGTGAGAAAAAAAATGGGATAGGACAAAGAAGGATGATAAACTGGGGGAAACAGCAATGTGTGCTTAAAATTGCTCCTCTCCCCTCTGCCTTTGGAAACAAGGATGCTCTTTTCCCCCAGATACACAAAGGGCACATCTCACATGACAGGTCTACAGCTCACTCATGGGAGTACTAGGGTCAAGTTCTTCCTGCACCTGTCATTCCTCATATTCCTTATATAAAAATTCAACATGCCAAGACACCATGTTTTGAGCCTGTGTGTCCTGAACCCCATCAACTGCAACAACTCAGGAGTAGGAGGAGGTCTTTGTTCTAATTTCAAGTGTTATGGGTGTGTGTTTATATATATGAACGAGAAAGGCAGAATTCAAGAAACATTACATTTCAGAAATTCATCCACAGAGAAGGAATGTTGGTGTTATTTGAACCCAAAGTCAATTAGTTTAACCCAATGTCTATTCAATTGCCTTGAGATGCTATTTCTGTTCTAAGTCAAACTTCTTAGAAACCATTGTAATCTTACTCTAATTTTCATATCAATTAAATGTTATTTACTTTTGAGTACAGAATAAACCCAAAGAATTTTAGCTAATGAAAGTGACAAATTAGATCCACATTAACTTTTTGAGCCATGGGACAAGTGGATAGCTTCTAGGATCACAACAGGAAAAAGCCTTGGAGGAATAAGGAAGTCTCCAGAGATAAGGGTAACAAATTCCAAAGGGGATTAATCAAATACCCCTGAACTAGGAGATAAGGACATTGCTGGGCAAGGACTCTAAGCACTGTGAAGCAACATGTAATTCTGGGCACAGAGACCAAGACAAAGTGAGTTACCAGGAAGCCCAATTATGCCTTAATATCATTTCAGAAATTCAGATCCCATAAATTACCTGTTCTCATAGGTAATAGAGACAGAGTGACCCGAAGAAACCAATCACAAAGAGACTGACAAAGCTTTAGAATAATTAGGGAAAGAAGGCCTTTATTGCCTGAGGCACAGCTCCACTTCAGCTTCCTGGCCTGGTTCCACCAGCCCGGGAGTCTCACTTTTTTTGTTTCTTTTCTCCTTAATAAACTTGTCCTTAAATCTATTTCTCTAAACAAATTTGCCTCTTTTCACTTACTTGCCTGAGAGTCAGCGAAGTTCCTGCTGTAGCAAATAAGACTCTTGGGCTTGAAAAACTCAGCCTCTTTGGGTGCCACCCCCAACAGGTGTGTATCTTACCCTTTGTTCTCCTTTGGCATGGCCCAATTTTACAGATATTTTAGTAGAATTGTTAGGGGGAAAAGGAAGTCCTAAAGCTAATTCTGTACAGGCTTTGTGGACTCCACCCCCACCCCAGGCCAAAGCCAAAAGACACTGGGAACTCCAAATCCCATCCCCACCAAAGGGAAGGTGGCTGGGACCTGAGGGTGGGGTTAAGCAGCCAGGTTGCTATAAGCCAGAAATGTGGGCTTTGGAGGGGTCCCCCATTTTGGCTCTCCGCCAGCTCGCAGCATCTGCCAGCTCTGAGAGTGCCTTTGGGTTTCCAGGTCGGCGGATCGGGTAGGACGCATTAAAGACTTTATTTCCCTATTTTCTCCCTGAATTGTACATTTCCTTAATTCCCTTTCCCTTGTAAATAAACCTTTTATTAACCTTTTTGTGTGTGTCTATAGTGAAGTATTAATAAGTCCCTTTTAAGCACGCGGGTGAGGACCCACAGCCAGGCAACCCGTTTTATATCGGGGTTGCCCCATAACAGAATGTCTTGTTATTTAACTTCAGACTCTTGGATCTGGACCAACAGAATTTTAATCAATCCAATTAAGAGAATGAGAGACCTATGAGAATAGGGAATTTATGGGATCTGAATTTCTGAAATGATATTAAGGCATCATTGGGCTTCTTGGTTAATGCTGACAACCTACTCTTCTGTCATTCACCTTCTCCCTTCCTCCTTTCAAGTTAATGCATTCTTTTATAAATTAATTTGACCCTGCTGATGCTTCAGCTAAGCAAGTTACAGATATAGTACCTGACAGATGGACTCAGTTAACAGGTTAAAACTGCTATAAATAGGTCGCTAGTACTGTGGTGATAAGATGTCCAGGGAGGGGAAATGTTCCTTGGTCCTATGATAAGGTCTCAGTCTTCAGTGAGCCTGTGCCTCTGACTGTGAACCCCACAAGTGTTTCTCTGCTTTTTTCTCTCCCCTTAGGATAGGATGGCTAGAGTGGGCTGGAGTTGGTTATTTCTGTTCCCTAAGAAAACTGTAAGAAAAGCCATAATCTTTAAATATCCAACAAAAATGTCACAATCCTGAAAATTAGCACTTTTCAAATTTCAGCAAGTAGATAAGATCAAGATAAAGGTTGCAGAGACCTTACTTTGTATGGATGAAAAGATTGAAATCATACAACTAGTTTTAGTCTTTGAGTCACATCAGATGCATTTATTTCCTCTTCGTATACATTCTGATGTCATTTCAAGACATTTTCATTGACAAGTGCATAATATGACTTCAGTAGTCCAAACAAACTTATGAATATAGTATGTCACCCTTCAGATAACAAGAGCAAGACATATTAGTGTGTTGTTAATTCAAAGATGAAGTTTAAAGATTGATTTTCTGCATTTTAGCTCACTTTCAATCTTGTTTTGTTAGGAAAAAAAATTATGTTATGTATTTGAAATAAATATTATAAGGCCTGTTATGCTTCTAATGTGTTCTTTATAATTAAAGTGAGTTACTATAAAAGTTCAATGATTAAATTCTAATGGTGTATTTGTTATTTTCATAGGAAGTTTATAGAGACTCATCTGAAAACCATTCCCAGTTGTGCATTTTCAAATCTGCCTAATATTTCCAGGATGTAAGTCATTTTTTTTAATTTAAAGAGAAATTTGCTACTGTGAAATGTTATTTTGTAAATGTTTTCTATCAGGAAAAATAATTGTTATATATATAAAATATACTTGCTTAAGTCAATGACATCTACATTTCTATCTACATTTGCATGGGTTTGTAACCTACATTTTGAATATAGATCAAAATTTTGTGCACAAGATAATTTGCTACATCTCTACTTCCAAATTCCTCAATGATTTTTGAAAGTTATATCTCAGTTCATTTGGTCTTGGAATATGTAATATCTTTGCATATTTCAATATCTTGGGATGAGGCAAAATTTTAGCCAGCGATCACTCCCATAAATAGATATTTATATCTATTTCTAATGAATCTTTCCTATCCTATTCTTGATATACTTTTCATGACTAGTTCAAATGTTTACATTTTGTCGTAAATGTAGCCAATGAATTTCAGACCTCTCAAAAAAATATCCTAAACTATAGAAAAATAAGTAGTTGTATAGTCCAGAGTGAGGAGAATAAGTACTTCCATGTTGAGCTGACAAAGACTGTATCTGTATGTGAAATAAATTAGGTTACTTTTCATTTAATTGATTCTGATAGCTAGGTGGATAATTCATGTATAATAAAAACACAACCAGGAGTCACCTGCACACATTTTTTCTGCACATATTCATCACCACTTATTGAGTATCTATTGTTTCATTTCAAATGCATTTGATATTTTTGGTTATCACAACTAGATGCTACTGGCATCTAACACCCATGTGGAGGCAAAGGATGTTACTAAATATCCTCCCACTACAAGGAGTCCTGCAGTCCCATTACCAACAGTGCAGAGGCTGAGAAGCCACTTTAACTCCACATCTCTGAAGTGCTTGATGTTCTTGACCAGCACATCCTTTTTCAAATTCTTGCCTCCTTTGGTTTAATATTGCTCTCTCATCCTTTTTTGTTGGTGGTGGTGTCTTACCCTGACTGTTCCTCTGTCTCCTTTCTTGACGTCCCATTTGATTTGTTTTATTTCATTGCATTTCAATTTTTAATTCAATTTCTTAAATATTGGTTTTTTTCTTTGTTTATTTTGTTCTAGTTCTTCTTACCCTACTGTCCTTGAATAAACACTCCATTCTTTTGGCTTCACTGTTACCTAATACAGCTAATTCCTAAATGTATAACTCTAGTCTTGACTTGTTTTGACAATTCAGCACTGCATTACAAATGTCTTCACAAGTACCATCACCTTGATGTCCCACTAACACTTCAAACTTAGCACAACCAACCTTCCTTCTAACCTCTTCCTTCTTTTATAGCACCACCATTTAAGGACCTATCAACTAAAGGTCTCAAATTCTATTTAACATTTCCTTTTCTTATCTCCCTTTTAAAATTGCCTATTTTGTGTCTCCACTTGGATGTTCCTATAGCATGGTCATTATTTCAACAAATACATATTGAACCTATGTTTTGCCGGCACTTTGCAAAACATATTCATGGAGCCTCCAGTTTCCTTCCTAAGAGAGTGATAAGTGCCATGATGGGGTCAGACACATGATACTGTGGGAATTCTAGGAAAGGCATATTGCCTAGGGGGTATGATCAGGGAAGCCTTCCTGGAGGAAAGAGTGCCTAATGTGTAATCTGAATTATATGGCAAAAAAAAAAAAAAAAAAAAGATGGAAGTGACATGATCAGATTGATGTTTTAGAAACATTCCTTGATTGTGCTGGAAGAATAAAGAAATGTGGTTGAGTAGATTTCAGAAATAAATAAGGAGGACTAACAAGTTTGAAAGTTGATTGACTTGGAGGTAGAAAAATATGGAAAAGAATTTCCTACAAGCTTCTGATTAGGACACCTGGGAGGTTGATGAACATATTTGCCAAGGTAGAGGAGTTTTCTGCGGATTTGCTTTGGGTTGGGAGAAGTTAGGGATTTCATTTAGGGCATATGGCATTTAAGGTGCCTTTGAGGCATCAAAAAGACATATCCAGTAGACATTAGACCAATTTTTTCATTCATTAATTTGAGAAATATTTATTAAGCTCTTATTATATGGTAATCATTATTCTCAGAGACAGGAATATACCAGTGCCCATTTGGACAATGATCTGTGCAGCACAGACTTACATTTGAGTGGAAGGAACCAGACAATGGACCGGACTGACTACAGATAATATGATAGAGAGTCCTATATAAATATAAATATATATACATATGCATATACATATACATATACATATACATTTAGAAGGGGAAAATAGATATAATAAAAAGAAACAAGCGAAGTAGAGTAAGAAGAACTGGAAGCGTTGAGTATGTGGGGACACAGAGCGGAGAGGTTTGGACAGAGAGTGAAACTGAAGAGTCATAAACAGGACCAGGGCAAGTCATCAGTAAGAGGCTAAAAAGTGTAAAAAATGACCAAGTTGAAAGCATGAAGTCCCAGAAGAGAGATGGAATTCAAATAGAGATGGAATTCAAATAGAGATCTCTCTGGTGTTGACCTAAAGAGAGATGATCACCTTATACACTGTAACAAGAAAGTAGTGGTAAGAAATGGGTATGGTACAGGTAAATTAATAGGTTTATTGGTGTAGAACTCAAAGAATTCTCATCTCAAGATTTTAATTTTTTCTAAAGATTCTTTGAAAATTATTAACATTGAATATGGTGCTGGCAGAAATTTGAGAAGCAATGAAATAAAAGTAATGTGTAATAAAAGAAGGAGGGTTGACTGAGCTATAGAGAACATCTAGGCAGATGGTGCTGCTAAGTTTTCCTCCATGGAGACCGTTCTGCATTCTCTACTCTACATTAAGTATTCCCTGAATCCCAACTGAGTGTGTATAACCCCATATGTTAACCTCATTTTAACACTCTGTAATCTCTCACAACTGAGAGCTCCATGAAACAAGGGAATAGGTCTGTTTTGCCAATATCCATTTACTGACATGCAAGAGTTATTTGTTGAATGAAAGCATACATATGTACGTGAATAATATAAGGAGATGGGATGTCTCGGGGAAAGGGAGAGACCAACAAGGGACCCCTATGTTAGTTTGTCTGGAGCCAGTATAAATTCCCACCTATTGTCCTGGCAGAACCATTAATATAACCCTATTTTAATTTACAGCAATACCCTATTTCGGATGATAAATGATATCTTCACGGTAGTGATTATATATGACTTACATGATAAGAAGAAATTTGGGGAGGAGGTGAAGTCTGATTTTTCAGTTGTAACAATGGGATAAGCAAGTGGGAAATCATTCCTCTCATCCCACTGAAAAAAATGGTACCTACATGCTGTCTTCATATCCAACTATAAGAACACACTAAAGAATTATCATTTGATTGGAAAACCTGGAAATTCAGTTACATTAACATGGCTTTAATGACTATCCCACTAAAACCTTGAAACAGCTTCATACTTCTAACCTAAGAAATTCAAGAGAAAATCTAGCAAGATTTTAAGAGGAAAAGAGAAATTTGCAATCTTCAAAACTGATCTTGTTCTTCAGATGGTTTGGCTTCATTCTTTATAAATCCCTGTAATCTCTACACGATAAACTAGTTCAATATCTTCTATTATGTTTTCTATGTTAAAGTTATGGTATTTGAATCAAAATAATTTATATAATGCTATCCACAGTGGAATGGCTTAAAGGCCTAATAAATTAAAGGATAACTGTTTAGAGAATAGCACATTCAAAATGGAAAGTAAAGGTCCACTAAAATACTCACAATAACCATTAAAAACTCAAATGGAACAGTCAGTGCTTCTCTTGAAAACGTTGTAATAATGAAAATACTTTACTGGCAGATTCCATTCAAACTATAGGTCAGTGCTTCTCAATTCTGCCTGCAAATTATAATCATCTGGGAAGCATTTTAGAAATAAAAATGTTTGCTCCATTCCTCATAATCTGATTTAATTACCCTGAACTGGGTCTCAAACATTTGTATATTTCAAAAGCCGCCGAGGTAGTTCAATTGCGTGGCCAAGGTTAAGAAGCTCTGTTATGGCCACAGATAAATACCATCTGTTAATCATCAATTTCCCCAAATGTCATAGAAATGTCTTTCAATAAAAACCAGTCATTGAACTTGGCTGCATTAGTCACACACAAAATGGAATTTGAAACATCATTCTTATGTATCCTTAACAAATTACATTTAGAAGTTTCTCTTTTTTAGTACTTAAAGCTTTTAGTAGATTTATCTTTTGCTTACAAAGTTCAAGATGAACCTTAAATTTTCACCCTCATTAAAATCAATAAAGGAAGTATTAATGGAAGATGTAGTCATCACCCTATGGATATTCCACTACAAAGTTGTGGATTTCTCTTCATCTTCTTTGAATACACATTTCTAACCCCATGCTCTTAGGTACTCCGTTAAAAGTGCCTCTTATTCATTCAATGAATGTCTTTCATTTTTTGCTATTTTAAGTCACCTATTTGCTCACTCATTCATTCATTTGCCCAATACACCTTTACTGAGAGCCTACTAAATGTCAAGCACTACGAAAACCATTCAAGATTCAATGGTCACCAAAAACAGACAGAATTAACCATTTTGGAGAAGTTAGACTAACTAAACAACATAAACCAAATATCATCCAAACATTCACAAAACTACACTGTGATAATTAGTGGAAGGGAAACTGCATGGTGCTGAAGATATCTTATAGGAATTTGATCTAGATAGGAAATTTGGGGAAAGCCTCTGAAGGAAGTAGCAGCTAAATAAAAGTTGAGGGATGAATAGAATGTAATGTACTGGGAAACTTCCAGGTATCATGAGATCTGACAAAAAGTATTAACTAATTTTAACATGATTAGAGAGAAACCAAGAGCATGATTTGTTGCATGATCTAGGAAGCCACTGTCAAAGAAGTTACGTCAAAATGAATGGTCAGTGTGGAGTTCACAACCCGGCTAACGTTCTTCTCTTTCTTATATTTTTGTGACATTCAGCTACTTGTCAATAGATGCAACTCTGCAGCGGTTGGAGTCACATTCCTTCTACAACTTGAGTAAAGTAACTCACATGTAAGTACAGTGAAAAGTGAGCATAGACCCAATCACAGCCACTCTTGCTTGATAATTGGGCACGGGATGGTGAAAACAGCTGATTTCAAAATCATGAGTCAAATTTGTTGTTTGTGACAGTCTTATTCCTAGTTTATATTAATTCACACGAATTCTCAATTCCATGGCTGAAAGTTAAAGAAAAATAAGAACTCCTCTTCTTGATTTGTCATTGTATTATACTACTGTTGTGCTAGCAGATTTTATTGGGGGTCAATCAATAAGTAAACTGCTTAATTGCTGATAAACTACTTGAGTCCAGGACCAGTGAAAGACTCTTCAAAGCTAACATTATTTCTCTCAGTTTGGAAGGGAAATGCAGCTTCATGTGATCAGAACAGGAGTGATGTTTAGAACTTGCTTGAAGTTGGTCAGGGATGAATTGAGCCTATGAGCTATCTAACCTTGGAAAAATTATGTAATCTTTCTTAGCCTTAGTTTCCTTATTTGTTAAGTAAGAGTAAAAAGAGTTTCCACTTTCCATAGTAATTGCAAATTTTGATAGTGAGCATTTAAAACAGTGCCCAGCATATTAAAATTAGTCAATACATTTCATAAACATTCTTCTTCTTTAATTTCTCTAGTATAAGTTATAAAAAGCTTTGCATGCATAATCACATGCTCTTTGAAGAAGCATGTATTTAAAAATGTTAATTCTATTTTCTTAGTGAAATAATAAAAATTAAGGCAACAAAAGCCTTTAAAATAAACTAGTGTGACATCAAAATAAAAAATCTTCTGAACAGCAAAGGAAACCTAACAAAATCAAAAGACAACCTATTCAATAAGAGAAGACATTTGCGAATCATTCTGATAAAGGGCTAATATCTTGTATATATAAAGCTCACACTTTAATAGAAAAAAATACAATTTTAAAAATGGGAAAAATATCTGAATAGACATTTTTCCAAAGAAGACATTAAGATGGCCAACAGGTATGTGAAAAGTTTGCTCAACATCACTATCCTCTGAGAAATGCAAATCAAAACTACATTGAGATATCACCTCACAATTGTTAGAATGGCTATTTTCAGAAAGAAACAAGTGGTGGGGAGGCTACCTTCCTGCACTGTTGGTAGAAATGTAAATTGGTGTAGTCATTATAGAAAACAGTATATAGAAAGGTCTTTAAAAATTAAAACTAGAAATCCCATATGATCCAGATACCCACTTCTGAGTATTTATCAAAAAAATCCCCAGAAGTACAGTTAAAAGATAAATGTGTTTATTGCAGCACTATTTACAATAACCACAACAGCAAAACAACTGGTGTCCACTGATGGGTAAAGCAAATGTGGAAAATTAAATATACACACACATATATGCATATATAATTTTATATATAATTATATATAGATATATTCTATATAGAGTTTATATGTATATGTATAATATAAAATAAACAAATACATACATAATCTAAATCAAACAAAAAACCCAAACTCATAATGAATAAGTTGATGAGACTGAACAGAGATTTAGACAGTTTTATAGCTAACAAAACAAAACAAAAATTGGAGTTACTAAAGTTTACTAAGGAGCTTGGTTTCTACTAAACTCCCCAGGATTTTAGCTAGGGCCCCTAAGGAGCTTCCTTCTGAGAGTATGGGATACTGAGAAATAGATCAATCTTCACAAAGACTAAAGCCTACCTCAGAATCAATTAAGACAATAACAAAGCATGACAAAGAGCATATGGAGAAAATTATGAGAAGAAAACAAACAACAGAAAATGACCCACAGGAGACCCAGAAACAGACTTTAAAGTAATGGTAATAAATATATTCAAGTTTTGAGAGGCAAGATAGAACATTTTAGATTAACCTGGAAAATTTTATAGAATCAAATGAAAACTAAAACTTAAAATCTCAATGACTGAAGTAAAATCTTAGCATGAGTTTAACAACAAATTAAATATAGCTCAGGGGCCTCCCCAGTGGCGCAGCGGTTGAGCGCTGGGTTGCAAAGCTGCCCGCAGCCTCTGCGGCACCGGTTCGATCCCCAGCTGCTCCCCGGCCACCGGAGGAGGGTCCCACATGGCGCGCAGACCTCTCCTGCCGCCCGCTGCTCCCCTCAGCAGTGTACTTCAGTCCTTCTGCCTGCTCTGCTCCCCACCCTGGCTCTGGTGAATTCTCTCACCCTCCCGCGCTTCTGACTGTACCCAGTGCTTGTATAAATAAATAAATAATCTTTAAAAAAAAAATTTTAAATATAGCTCAGAAATTAATCAGTTACCTAGAAAAGTCAAAAGAATATAACCAGCCTGAAGCATGGAAAGAAAAAGAAAATAAGAAGATGGCACAGTGAAACGGCTAGCATACCTATAATTAATTGGATCACAAAAGAAAGAATGGAGAGAAGTAATATTTGAAGAGAATTCTTCAAAACTCCTAGGAAACATCAAATCACAATGTAAGAAGTACCACTAGCCCTTAAAGGATAAATATAAAGAAAACCACATCAAGGTACATCATCCTCAAAGTACTAAATACCAAAGACAAATTGAATATCATAAACAGCACCAAGAGGAGGAAAAGTTCACAGTATTTTCAAAGAAATAACAATAAGACTGACAGCTGACTTTTTAACAATCATGGAATCCATAAAACAATTAAAAGCTTTATGCAAGAGTAAAACAGGAAAAATAACAACGGTAAATAACTGCCAACCTAGCAAAAAGGTTCTTTGAAAATGTAAATATATCAAAACAACAAAAATTGAGAGACTTCATTATAATTTGACTATTATTAAAGGGACTACAAAATGGAGTTTTAATGCAAAGGGAAAGCAATTGTTTTCAGTAATTTAAGACTGTTTTCCAAAATAATCTTAAATGGTAGCATAGTGGTACAGGAAAAAATGAAAAGCAACAGAAAAAGTCAATATAAATGAACCTTGACTGAACAAGACAAAACAAAAAATGTCTTACGAGGACTGAAATACAGGCAATCCTTATTTTGCATGATAGTGAAGAATGAAAACTCTTTGCATGCTGAAATTCTATACAGTGATCTTAACAAAATAGAGTATGGTCATTTGGGGACTTCTAAAAACTTGTCAAAATATTATTGTTGGTTATAAATAACAAAAGTAGTACAACTAGTATTTATTTAGCACACTGTAATTTTAAACATTAGAAATATTTAGAATTAAAATATTTCATGTTTTTGTGAAAAGCAGCAAGAGTAGTTTGAACAGTACCATGCCTCTTTCTCTTTGTTGCATAACTTACAGGAGAGCATCATTTCAATGTCTTGGCAAATTGTCCTACTTCTTTCTAGGTCTGTATCAGCTTCCAATATTTAATCTTTTGCTCTTTCAAGGTCATAAAATATTCCCAAGTTCCTTTAATGTGAATTTATTTTTTCAGCATCTTTTCTTTTGGACTTGTCCATCCTTTTATTCACAACCACTTTTTTTTTCATTTATATCAATAATTTGCCTTCTCTAAATTCCTATAATTGAATATCTAGAGTCTCTCAACACTCCATGCTCAGCTGTAAGACAGTTCACAACCAAAGCAGGTGTTTGTTTTAATATAACTCTGTCTGGTAGAAAAGAATACTGAAAAAGCAAATAATAAAATTCTTATGAAATTAATAAGGTTAGAAGATATAAATGACATAATTTAAAATCTTACTGACTTTATTGATTTATATAACCTTAGTGACTTACATAAAATATTGTGTTAAACAAGCACAGAGCACATATTCTTTAAAGACACATGGAATAGTTATTTAAATTGACTATATACAGGTTTATGAAAGCAAATCTCAGTAACTCACAAAAAAATTAAAATCATTTCTGAATAATTAGCCATGCATTTCTAAATAATTCTAGAGCACAGAAGAAATCACAGCAGGCATTAGAAAAGAATTTTAGCTAATTGGGCCTCCCCAATGGCAAAGCGGTTGAGCGCTGGGTTGCGAAGCTGCCCGCAGCCTCTGCAGCTCCGGTTCGATCCCCGGCTGCTCCCCGGCCATTGGGTGAGGGTCCCACATGGCGCGCAGACCTCTCCTGCTGCCCGCTGCTCCCCTCAGCAGTGTACTTCGGTTAAATAAATAAATAAATAAATCTTTGGGGAAAAAAAGAATTTTAGCTAATGATATAACAAATCAACACCTATGAGAAGCAATTGAAGTCTTGCTCAGGGTCCTCCCTGGTGGCCTATGGGTTAAGTCTAAGTGATATCACCACTGAGGTTTGAGTTGGATCCCCAGCCAAGGAGCTAACCCACTTGGTGCAACAGACCTCTCTTGTTTTTTTTTAATGATTTATTTATTTATTTATACAAGCACTGGGTATAGTCAGAAGCGCGGGAGGGTGAGAGAATTCACCAGAGCCAGAGCGGGGAGCAGAACAGGCAGATGCACGAAGTACACTGCTGAGGGGAGCAGCGGGCGGCAGGAGAGGTCTGCGCGCCATGTGGGACCCTCCTCTGGCGGCCGGGGATCGAACCGGCGCTGCAGAGGCTGCGGGCAGCTTCGCAGCCCAGAGCTCAACCGCTGCGCCACCAGGGAGGCCCATTATAATCTTTTTTTAATTTATTTTTATATTCCCCATACAATTGCAACCTCCTGATTTTGATCCCAATCCCTCCTTTCCCCACCCTCCCCCAAAGTGTGTCTCTGGTTCATAGTTGTTTGTTGATTTTGATTTTTTTTTCTTTCTTATAGTTATTCTTTTTCCTGGTCCCTTATTTAAGTTTTCTAGATTCCTGCTATGAGTGAGACCATCCGGTATTTTTCTTTTTCTTTCTGGCTGCTTTTGCTGAGCATCATCCCTTCCAGCGCCATCCATGTTGCTGCAAATGGCATGTGTTTATCTTTTTTGAATGCTGAGTAATATTCCATGGTATATATGTACCACATCTTCTTGATCCAGTCATCTATTTTTAGGCATTTGGGTTGTTTCCAAAGCTTAGCTATTGTAAATAGTGCTGCTATAAACATAGGGGTGCA